TTCAGATGTTGCTTCTAAATCTTGGCCAGGTTCATATGACAAGAAGCTGCTTTTGAGGTCATCCATCCCCACCAGCAGCATTGGAGGTATTCTGGTGAGAGCCTCACTAAATGCTAACTGCTTCTGTGAACTTGTTGTACATTATTTTGCTGGTGGTAGTGCTGTTACTGTCCTTCTGTAATTTGATAGGGTATTAATTTGGGGATTTTTAATATTGCATTGTTTTCTTGGGGTTTTTTTTATTTCACTTCATGAAGTACCACGGCTTATTTAATAAGAACAGAAGAAATACTTAAGAAAAAATACAGAAGGCTTGGCCTAAGACTCTTTACAGCACTCTTTACAGGTGGGCAACCTGTGACCCTTTAGATATTTCACCCGAAATCTCTCATGGTCCCTGACCATTGGCTATGCTGGCTCAGATTGATGGGGGCTGCAGGCCACAATACAAGTCACCCACCCCAGTGTCAAGATGTGAAGATCAGTACTTGACAGGTGTCTAACAGCCAACATAGATACCACAATGGAAGATCTGTGCCTGGTTTCCAATGACTTTTCAGAAACCTAAGTTCATCTTTTGTGCCTCCATCCTTCAGAACAGGGTTGCAACACTATAGGAGGGTTCTTAACCCTTCATACTCTTTTCCAGGAGTACTTCCTCCACCTGAAGTTGCTATTTATCTCCTGGGGCCAAACATAGCTACCCACTTGCTCATTCAGAGATGTGGCTTAGTAGCCTTCATTTGAAGGGCCAGTAATAGAGGCTCTTTGCCATGTAACAGTAGAGTCTGATATGTGTGAACTTCCTCCCCCTCCAGATATTTATATAAGTTGGGCCCCAACATAGCTCAAAATTGGCCTGTGTCCCATTGCACCAAGCTTTATTTTTACAGTTCTGGCTGGGCGTCATATTTAGATAGCTAAGTCCCAAAGAGATGCATTTGTAGAGACTTCATTACCCGCATCCCACTGCCAGATGAGGAGTTTTGTTCCTTGGGAGCCTAGCATAAGCTCAGTGCAATTCCTTCTTAAACAGTCATTCTACTTCTGATGGCCAGTGATCAGGAGGCCATCAGTTGCTATGTTTCTAAGCACATGTCCAGTAGTAGTTTGAATTTATTGTTCATTGTCTGAAGCTTTTGGGTTGGAATGGGCTGAAATGGTTATTATGAGGATAAATTTAAGCTGTCTTAAATTTCTTGCAGGAAAAAGGTAGGATATTAATGTAATAAATAAATAAATAAATGTTTGAATGTTTGAATGAATCAATTGGTAAATAATGGTCTGCAAATAAACAATTGCAGAATTAAAATGCAATTAATTCTGAATGGTGTTATTTAAACATATACATTAAAGACTTTGGAACCATTTGGTCTGTGCTATAAAAGGCACAATCTTATGCAACTTTAGATGGGAAAAAGGGCTTACAGCTCCCAGCATGCCCTAGCCAGCAGAGCTGCTTAGAGCATGCTGGGATTGTAGGACTTTTTCCTGTTTGAGCTTGCATAGGATTGCTCCTTAAGAATAGTTAATTTGCCTACAGGAAAAGCAGCTCAGTAGCACCACAACCGTATTCTACACTTGGGCCATTTCAAGGGTTCTTGGGGTGGCCAGATGTGATACCTGCTGAAATTCCGTCTTCTATGCAGCTATTCAGTATCTTTCTGTAACTGTTTCCTGGGCATTTCAAATTCTTTTTAAACATCGTATGTTCAGGCTACAACGGTGTTATCTTTGGCTAATAGACAGTACAGAAATAAAGTAATAACAACAGCAGCAGTGCGGGAGCCCTGCTCCTTCTACATCTGGCCTCCATACATGTTATGCAGTCATCGTGTTTGCTGCGGCTGCATTGGTTTTACAACAGTGTTTGCTGCTGTAAACATATTAAGTGTGAAACAAGCTGTGAAAATAAACCAGGGAGTTACAGATTATCCTTATTTCAAGTATGTGCCTCCAGAGATGTGCATCTGCCTTTCATGAAGGCTGCTGCATTGGTTCGCCTCCCCATTTACAGCTCAGGAAGATGCAGTAGCTTGCTCTTCTTTGTGTCGCAACTGATTTTGTAAAAGCTACTGACAACACCATTCTTTGCCTATTCAGAACCAAGTCCTGTGAGTTTAGGCATTGCTTTCAGGTAAATGAATGCGGCAGGTATGGGGGATCTTGTTTTGGCTTGAGGGCCAAATTTCATTTTGGAGAAGCTCTTGGAGGTTACATTCCCATGGGGAGGGATAGACTCAAAGGCAGAAGTGAGCACGGCAAACTGTAAAAGTGGGCAAGCTTGAAAAATTCCACCCATCCACATTTCACTGACACCAATTTATAGGAGCAAGTATAATTACTCAGGAGTAAGTAGGAGGGACTCCTGCATCTGCACTTTCAAATGGCATCCTAAATAGTAGGTCTCTGTCTACTCAGAATAAGCATGAACATCAGTGGCAGGTTTACTCAGAAGTAAGCAGAACAAGCATCTTCATAAAACCATGCTTCACACTTCATGGTAAATGTTTTTCTCCGTTAAGCATTGTGAGAAGGAGCCCTTTTCAGTGTGAAGCAGGAAGAAAACATTTATCTCCAATCAGCTGCTTATTGGAGCTAAAAGTTTTGTCCTCTTTGGCAGAGGCAGTGGGCCCATAAGTAGTTGCCAGGCCTGGTAACATCTGTGGATCAGACCTTCCCCATGCCTGCTGCACAGGGCCACAGTCTGTGGAAGCAGCCACTACTGAATGCTTATACCTGAGTATCATGCATACAATCGAGCTTTTAGACCTTATTTTGCTTTCTGGTCTGATATAACATTGCAGTCAGGACAAACATGGCTGTGTAAAAGGTGAAGTAGCCCTGCATTTGCGGAAGTCAACACATGATGCATGAAAAAGAAATATTCAGGAAAAAAATTGTGCTCCCAACAGAAGGCGGTTCAAAGCTGTCAGTGATTTGTGAGGTTCCCTATATATGCTGAAGCATACCTGTTTGTATGTTTAAATCTTTTTTTTAAATCCCCACACAATCTGTTGGTTTCCATCCTATGGAATTTCGATTGCATAGAGATAAGAAATGATAGAGTCACTCATATTATTTTCTGGAGAGGAGCATATGAGTTCACACTGAATACTGATGACAGAAACTCTTGTCTTTGCTACTACCTTTTCTTGGATTATGGGGAAGAATTACTATTCAATCCCAGCTATATTAAAATCATACTTTTTCCAATTATTATCTATAGATAGTTCTTTCTTCTTTCCTTGGATGAACAAAAGAAAGGGATCTGAAGGAACTGAAAGTTGGTAAAACCATGTTAGTCTAGAAATTACTGGGGGTACTGAGCCGTGGAATGTTGAAAAAAGGGAAACCTTAATTTTATATTCAACTCATAATGATATAATCATGTTACAAATTGAAACCCAGAGGATATCGGTACCTTGAAGGTGAACATCAGAGTCAGCAGGGGTAGCTTGGCATTCCACCTATGCTATATTCTTGTCCAGTTATATAGCAATAAGTAGCCAGCCCAGATCCTAAGTCTTTCTTGCACAGTAGTGAAGGTTTAAAGAGAGCAGAAAAGGGAAAACCCATTGTCTTCTGTGACTCTCAAACTATGCTACAGGGTTCCTTTTCTAGCAGCGCTGGTGACCAACATGGGTGGACCATCTGCACAGTGATGCCAACCAGACCCCCTCACTTCCCTGCTGCTCTCACCATGTGGCATTGCTGTGAGTTACCCCATTCCACCCCAGCACTGCCAGTGGCTTTGGGAGTGAGAAAGACAGTTGCTCTTGGCACACATGCCCAAGGCCTTCTGACTGGGACTTGGTGGAAGAGCAGAAGGAGGCCTCAGAATGTGGGCCAATTCCAGATGTGGAGGCACTTATCTCAAGGCCAGACTCCCCAGGTGCTCAGGCAGCCTCTGTGAATAACCAAGATCAGAAAAGGGGCTTGGAACAGGGGAGTTTCTCAGACAGATGAGGTGGATATGGCTCTTGACCCCATGATGCAATGTTGGCAGAGCAGGGTAGCCCAGTTAGAGGATCAGCATGCAGAGAAGAGGTGTGCTCATTTCCAAAAGTCCCCTCTGGAAAGGATGGGGGCCCAAACATAAGGAAAGTTCCTAGAACTAAATACTAAATTGGGTTCAGCAAACCTATCTGTGCATGCTCAGAGATTCATTCTGGGTGTTTGTGCTTCTGGAAAATGCTTTGGTCAATAAGAAACAATAAAGGTCTGTGGCTTTGAGTGTGCGAAAGGAGAAAACCTTGCTTACGACAGTTACTTTCAATCTTATGTTTATGTGACAATATCTTACTCTATATTTATGAAGTGCTGGTTTGGGCAGGAGTGGGAGCTGAATGGCTCTGGTTGGCAGCAAGCATTGTTATCCAGCACTGATTGGAGCTGGGTAGCCTCTTCCTTCCCATCCCAACCACGACCCACACTCCTGTGTAAGTATGTGGGGAGCTGCTGGTGGCCTAAATAGTGGCAATAATCAATGGCAAAGGGGCAGTGGTGAGTCTTAGCGCCAGGAGAAACTGTGCTTCTTTTTCAGTAGCTCTGACGGGCCTCACTGCCCAGGTTTGCTGTCGGTCTGGATAATTCTGCATGGTGCATTCTCCCCATTGCTGCTGCTGTGTGTATGCAAGTGATTCTTCCACTTGACACAGAAACTACTCACATCTCTAGCAAATGCCAAGGGCTGAGTAAAATGATACGATTTATTGAGAAATATTAGGCTGGTGGAGGAGTATGACTGTTTTTGAGAGTTTTAACTTCAGCAAAATTTTTGAAGCAGAAGAATTTCTGCAGGAATAGAGAAAGTCGTAGGGAACGTTTCAGGCAAAGCCCTGCAATGTAGACAGGGCTTGCTCTGCCCTGATTCTTGTGCCTAGTGTATTATACTGCCCTAAGCAACTGCTGAAACATGGTTTGTGGAATCTGCTCCCTCTTTCTTCAGCATACCACTCTCACTAGTTCAATATTCTGGTTTCTTCATTTTCTCTTAGATGAACTGACTTTCTGCCCTAAAGGCGTAACTTCCAACATGTTCCGCTTCAATGTGTCTTCGGCAGAGAAGAACAGCACCAACCTATTCCGGGCCGAGTTTCGGGTTTTGCGAGTGCCAAACCCTGGTTCCAAACGCACTGAGCAGCGTATTGAACTCTTTCAGGTGAGCAGACCTTCCAGCCAGGGCAGAAGGGGGCCTGTAGAATGCCTGGTGCTTGCTGAGAATTCTCACGTGCCATTTGTAGGGTAGTCTTTGCCTTCCTGATTTCCTCTGCAATTTAACTGCTGACCTTTCATCCCTCATATCCAGCCCATGATCAAACATTCCTTTATCAGCATGGCGCTCTCTTGTAGAAGGTTCTAGACCTAAAAAGAAGAAAAGTGCATTGTGGTTGCCTGTAGCTTTAGGAAAGTGTTGCCTGAATAAATTGCCTTCACCACCATCATTTTAACGAAAGGCCGTGCTGCGCATATGGTTCCTTTCAGAGCTAGTCCAGACAAAGCTTTTATTGTGAAATCACCTTGCCTCATTGCATGGAATTTTATGGAGGATCCCTCTCACTTTTCCCACTGCATTTTCTGTCTTTTTTTTTCTTTTTATGTGTGTGTGTTAAGGATGAATAACTGCACAATGCCTTTTAATGGTAGTGTTAGGAGCCCTCTGTCTGGAGGCACCTCAAGACATATTGGCTCTTGTGGTTAAATAAAAATGAAAATAAATTTGGCTCCTGGCAGGAAGAATCGAATAAGTGACTTGCTGCTTTTAGTGTTGCCTAGCATCCCCTACCTGAGGAAGCCCCTGACTGCTTAATGTAAGCCCCCGACTCTGTGCCTTTAGCAGCCATTCTACAGACAATAATAAATTTTAGTACTTTTATTGGGTTCTCAAAGTGCTCCACAGATATACCTCTGTGTGGTATGCTATTATACCTTATACTTATTATACACAGATAGCTTACAATACTGATATAAGGTTGGCTGTTATTATAAGCTTATCACTGTTCAGGCAAGGGGGTATGGCTGAGGTGACCAGTAGTGAGAAATGTTTAAGGTGGACTAACCCAAATACAGATAGCCTAATATATATATTGCCTCCCTGAGACACAGTTAAGGGTGGGAGATATAAAATTTAAATAAATAAATGGAATAATGGTAACATTAACATATTTTAGCATAATAACATTTTAATATGTGCCCAGCCTTTATCCATTACCTTTATCCATTACCTCAGCATTTCTGCTGTTATCATCCAGAAAATGGCAAAGTAGAAGCAGAAAGTGCCGTTACACAGCCACTGTGTAGTGTGTGAACTCTGCAGTTCCTCTTAACTGTCTGCACTAAATGAGAGGAATAAGTTTTGGGATGAAAGCTGAACTTTATTTATTTATTTAGAATATTTACATGCCGTCCTGTCATGAAGGCCTCAGGGCGGCTTACATAAATAAATAAGAATAATATAAAACATAATACAAATTCAGCAAAGGGGCCTAGAATATCTTTGTGGGGACCAGGCAAGGCTGGCCCTACCTTTTGGCAGAATGAGGGGGTTGCTTTGGATGCGGGGAAGTGGCAGGAAGGGGTTGGAGGAGGGAGCTGCGGGCCACATGGCCTGTCCTGCATGCCTTAAGCTGCCCTGCTGTCTCCTGATGTGGTGGAGGATGCCCTGCCTTGCCAATGTTGCAGGAAGGTCCAACGGCCAGCCCAGCTGGCTCTTGTACATGGAACAGGAAGGGGCTGCCATTTTGCCCTTGGCCCCAGGCAGCAAAGTCCCTTCAGCCAGCCCTGGGACCAGGCCCTTCTGTGTCATAACCCTGAGGCTAAGAAAGAACAGCTCATATAAAATCACCCAGTACGTTCCTAACTGAATAAAGAGTTGAACCAGGGCTTTCATCTCATAATTCACTCTTAGGGTGCAATCCTATGGCCAGCCAAGACCATCTGGGAGGCCATAGGATTTGTTAGAGTTTGAGCACCAAGATCCTGTGATCTCAGAGCTGGGACTCCAAAGACTGAGCTTCAGCCCTGCCCACTCACTGCTGGTGTGAAAGAACCATGCCTGTTGCCTTGCCCCAAAGTTGCAGCTGGGCCCAGGGCAAGGGAAAAGGGGGAGCCTGGAGGCTCTTTAGATAAAATGCAGGGTGTGTGGTGTGGCAGGGGCAGAGATGGCAACAGCCATGCCTTTGAGTTTGGAGGCTTACATATATCTGCCCTGAGGGCTATTGGATTGCCTCCTGGCTACAGGTCTGCTCCCACTTACCTGGGAGGAACTGACTTCCTAGAAGACATGCACAGGACCACCTGCTTTCCAGTTTTTTGAATTTAGATCAAACTTTTCGTGTTTTATTCCTCCCTGTCGTGTTACATTATCCAAAAGGTTATAAAGAGGTAAGGGGGTGAGGCAAGAATATACTAAATGCAAGAATTTAGTGTAGAAATGGCTCCTGAATACCAGCTACAGGGTCTGGTTTATCTAAAGAAAGGGTAAATAGGGTAAGCATGTTCAAATTACCTTTATCAAGCAGAATCGGTCTTCTATTCCCAATTAGCAATTAAGGATAAAGGACTTCAACTGCAAAGAATTTGGTTAACTTGAAATCTGTGGCAGTAATTTTAGAAACCATTGTTACTGAGCCTCAGACCTACACAAAACTTAAACCTATGTATTAGTGCCACTGTTCTTACTGTGAGCATTTCCTGAAAATAGAAATATGTCACCTTATATTACAGCAATCTTCTAAGTTTTTTGCCATAACACTAGGAAGAGAGGGAATAACCACCAAAAGAAAAGACCCAGACAGAAGGTGTGACAGTAGCCCCAATAGCCCTCTACCACTTTTTCTGCCTCTCTTTGCCCCTCTCTCATAATTAACACTGGGACAGCCTGTGAGCTGAGATATGAGAGCATGGGCTCTAGCTTGGGTTTCAGTGTATGGGAGACGAAAAAAGTTATTTCTGCCAGGGAAAAATATAAAGCAAAGTTCAGATGCCTGCTCTTCAACACATTCAGGATTACTTTTCCCATATTTTGGTCATGGTTTGCGGTTTTATACCTTTTCACAGTGAGAAACCTAGGCAGTCTTGAGGGATAATCAAATTATTGTTATTACATTACATTTCTATACCACCCATACCCAAAGCTCTCCGGGCAGTTCACAACATTTTAAGTCACCCATCCAGATTTCAACCTGGCCCGACCCTGCCTAACAGCCAAGATTAGGCAGGATCAGGCACTTCAGGCTATATGGAATATATATGTGATCTGAAATTGGGAGGTGGCAGCAAATGGGCCTGACCTTGAGTTGTGCTTTGTCGTGAAGTTATACTTTGGTGGTGGTTGTTTTTAAACCTAACTGCCACTGACTGAGCTTAAGGAGCATACATGGTCGACCTCCCTATCTTTTTTATACTTGAAACAACTCTGTGAAATTGGTTAGGCCAGATGCTGGTGATTAGCCTAAAATCACAGTGTGAACCTAATGGCTGAGTAACGATTAGAAGCCAGATTTCCCCAACATAACCCAGCACTCTAAGCAACCGCATCACACTGGCTCTGAAATGGTTTCAAGGAAGTAGAAACCCATGCGCAAGCTTTGGTCACATGTCATTGGTAGTAGCTCCTTGAAAATTTGGCTAGGGCTGGCTTCTTGTTCATGTCCAGCTGATGACGTGGAGCTGGTGTACCTTACAAACCCTGCTTTCCAAATATTTGTGGTGGCACGCTGGATCCTGTGTTTGGTGGCACAAGTCCAACTGGCGGCAAGCAGGGGAACCAGCACACATGAAATTGTGAAACAGTTTTCCAGCAGTTACAACAGATTTCGAAATTGTGCAATTCAGTTGTAGCACACTTTCTACCCCTGTACATATTCATTTCCACCTGTCGATAAGGATGTGCTGCATTTGCACAAATTCACATTTGCTGTACACATTAATATATATTTGTGTACAGTCAGCTTTAGTACCCAGGACATTTGGTGACATGCACACATGTCCCAGTGCTCTTACAGCCTGGCAGAACACAGTCACTGTGCCTTCTGAACTGAATGGCCTTACGTATCTCCTCCCAATGCAGATCCTGAAGCCCGACGAGCACATTGCAAAGCAACGGTACCTCAGTGGCCGGAACGTGATGACTCGGGGCTCCCCCGAGTGGTTGTCCTTTGATGTCACAGAGACTGTGCGTGAATGGCTTCTGCACAGAGGTGAGCGGTACAGAAAGCAGATCCATTCCCCTCCACTGCGCACACTCACGCTGGAGCTGGTGCTAACCAACCAGGACAGGACTCCACAGCACTTGCTTGCGCTAGATTTGTGACTGGATGGTAACTTTAACTCGTATATATGTGGAGAGAGGGAGAGAGTTTCTAACTAGATGTGCACATATACACGAACCCCTGTACTGTACTTGAGATAATATCTATGGTGCTTATCTAAAGTTATTTCCAGGTATATCTTGCCATTTGTTCAAGGAACTCAAACTGCCCTTCAATCTCCCACCCTACTTTATTTTCACAAAGCCTTGTGGGGAAAGTTAGGTTGAGATGATGATCACCAAGGTCCCAGTGAGCTTCTTGGTTGACTAGGAGTGTGAATCTGTGTCTCTCCACTCCTAGACTGAAACTCAAACCACTAAACCATGCTGGCTTTCTAAGCTGCTCAAACATTTAACTCACAACTTAATGATTACTCAGCTAAGAAGCTCCTGTTTTGGAGCAAAGTGCCTTGCTGGATTTAAGACAGATTTGGACAAATATATTTAGTATATTTTATGATTTCTGATTATCTGGATTTTCCAGTCAATCCAAATAAGAACTCTGTTCAGAGAGCCTGTTTGTTTTAATACATTTCTTCATTTCTATACCACTCAATAGCCAAAGCTCATAAGTAGGAGTTTGTCAACTTGTTCAGTTCTTAGTTGAGCAGGGGTTGAGGGGTCCAAGGTCCAAAAGGTGAGGGAAGAGAGGTCCTCCTCATGCTATACACAGGCAAGGGAGGGAAATTTTAAAGAACTTACCAGTACTGCCTAATGGAGGCTGGTCCACACTTACCATGTCAGGGCTTTGCCACTAAATCTTGGTGGCAGCTGCTGAAGGAGACCTACTCTGCAAGCAAGATGAACTGAGCATGTCTGTGCAAGTGGGAGAAAGCAAAGAGCAGAAGGCAGGCCTTAGCTTCCCACTTCCAGATGAAGGTGGCTGGTAGGAGGCTCGGTTGGAGCTCGGTTGGAGCTGCACCAGAATTCTACCAATTTGGCGGAGCAGACCCAGAAGAAAGTTTGTTCTCCTCTCTGCCACAATCCATGTTGGTGCTGAGGTCAAGGGAGCCTTTGGCAGCTTCCATCTTAGTTTTCCTAAAATGCAATGGTCTGAAAGTTCTATAATTCTGGTGCATTGTGGGTTACAAATATATTGAGACACCCACTCGCGGATGCCATATGTCCTTTTCCTTTGTGTTTTTAAGCTACAGTGCCTCAGAACATCAGAACTCCAGGGCGCTCCATTGTGGCAAAACAAAGATAGCCATCAAGGGCCTGGAGCAGTGGCAGGCATCAGCAGGCTTTGCTTTTGGCAGTGGCCCTGGCAGTCACCCCAGGACGCCATGGGTGACTTTGGTCCTGACTACCACTCTGCGGCCACTGCTGCTCTCTCACTTCAGATTTGCTGTGCATAGGCCAGCTCTGTTTGCATGTCCCCCTGTGAGGATCAGAGGTCTGGCAAGAACAGCAACGTTCAGGGAAGGAAGCTTTTCAGAGTCAGCAGTGCACCGTCAGCCTTGCACAGGGATGCTGCCAACTAGTGTTCATTCATCTCACGCTCACCAGAGATCAGTGAACGAGCTGGGCCAGATCTGTGGCCCATACCACTCTGTGCTTTCCCCTTGCTTTGTCCCCAGAGCACTTGTGCAGTGCATCTGAAATACAATAGGTGCCTCATTTGTCTTAGAGGAGTTCTGAGCAGAGCAATGGGGATGTCATGCCCTGGGCCCACAAACACCCAGTCTCTGTGCTGCCTTCTTAAGAGTCAGCAGCTCAGTCCAAGACTCGAGGCTGCAGGGTTTGTGTGCATTCAAAGTTTCAAGTGAGGTGGGGGTGTCCAAATGAATGTCTAGTAAGCAGGCCAGAAATATAGATACCAATTAGTTTTAACAAAGTCAGAGAGTCCGGATAATGATGCTTGCTGTTTGCAACAAAGAGCAGCTCTGTCTGAACTAATTTATAGCCAGCTGTAACTCAGTGCAGCTGACTAATTAAGTCAGTGTGCTGTTTCATGGAAAACTCCCCGTTCAGGCTGTTTGGACTTCTGTGGAAGCCGTGCCCTCCTCCTCCTCTCGAAGGGGTGAATTCCCTCTGCCTCCAGCTCCTGCTTTTGGGGGACCCAGGAGGGCTCTGCCTCCTCCTCATCTGCAGCCACAGCTCCTGTGGCTGGCTGGGGCCCACTGCACTGGCTTTCTTCATCAGAGGAATCCTCCTCCAGGTAGGACATGACGGGGAAAGAGATGTGCCTCTGCTTCAGTGCAGCTGAAGCAGCTGCGGCTGGGCAGGAGGGCAGCTCCAGACAGGAATGTGGACTGTTTCACAGCTGGCCTCACAGGTACAGTCGCCGGCAATGATGCCAGTCAGCGCTGGAATGCAGGCGAGAGATTCTCTCGAAGGAGAGGCTGATTGTACACTCCTTTTTCTTAGATTAAGGCATTGGCTCCAGTCCAGCGCCTGAACTGTTGGTAAGGCAAGTCTCACTAGCCCCGTGCAGTTCGAGAAAATGCCACACATAGTTTGCGATGTGGGTGATGCTTGGAGACAGAAGCAGCGACTCCCTCGTCGTGCGGTGCAGCAGTTGCTGCTGAGCTTGGCGTTCAGTGGAGAATAACAGAAGAGCCTGCTCTTGCAGCGACAGAATTCAAGCTGTGGGACTCGGCAGCTGAGGCCAGCTGGGAAGATTAGACAGGTGCCGAGATCCAATGGCTGCTTCTAGCGTGATCTGCAAGAGCCTCCGCCCAGTGCATTGGCTGCCACTAGCTGTGTCGGTTTGTGTGACGTGTTGATTCTGACCCTCATGCTCCCCACTTCCCTTAAGTTCCCTGCCAAGAATGTTCCAGTTCCATGAAAAATGCAGTGGGAATTCTGTGTCCAAATGAGGTGTAATCATTTCCCACATAAATCTCAGCTGTAGCATGTAGGCCCTTTCATTGCAGGATTTCTGGTTTGGTGGTACAGAACTTCAACAAGGAAATTACTTAGTCACGTTTATTTATATAAAGACAAGAGGAGTAAGAAAGGATTTTGTGCAGGATTTGAACAGCCTAGTCCTTATCATATTTACTTAGAAATAAACCCTACTGAGTTCACTGGGATTGCTCTCACCAGGTGACCTTAGAATTGGCAGAGCCTTACACTTTTGGGGTTAAAGAGTTCTCTGATTTATATGTGCTGTGACTGGGCTCTAAATCTTTTTATCAACACAATGCTTAAATGAATGGCCTTGCACAGAACAAGAGGACACTTCAGCCTGAAACTGCATTAACCTTGGGAGTGAACCGTGCCTTACAAGAAATGCTGGATTGCTGCCAAAAGCCGACCTGTCAGTTCCTCCCTCATGCTCTGTCATACCTCCCTCGACTTCTCCTGATGTCATTACCCTACACATTTTCCCATTACTACTGACAACCAGTGATGTGGAGCACAGGTGGGGAAAGTCACTGTTTAATGATGTCAGCACATGAGGTCTTTTCAACTAGGCAATATGGGCAGGAGGGGGAATTGCAGCACGGAGGTGCCATTTTTGGCCAGAGGCCTGTATTATTTGTTCACAGAGTTCTATCCCCACTTTCATTTCTAATCCAAAAATGCAGAATAACATTGGCAGCAGGGTCTACAACAAACAAGCCGACTCATCACTGATGTGACAAAGGAAATAGAAATTGCTGGAAGACTGTTTGGATACCAGGGATATTATTTGGTCTGCTAGCCTGCCTAAATTCTTTTTCTTCCAACAGAATCTAACCTGGGACTGGAGATCAGCATCCATTGCCCATGTAACACCTTCCAGTCCAATGGTGACATTCTGGAAAACCTGCATGAGGTGCTGGAGATCAAGTTCAAAGGTGACAGAGGAGAGATTGGAGGGGAAAGCGCTAAATAGGAGAAATGAAGCATTATCCCACCTAGAACTCTGTACTGTTAAAATATGATTTCTGTGCAAGTTGTACTCTGCTAGATAACCCCACATCACTATTTGTATGTGTTTGGTGTTTAATAATGATCACCTTTCCATAAAGAATCAAGGCAACTGAAGTCCTGTGACACAGCCTGGACAGTTCTCATAGAATGGCAACTAAATTAGGATTCTTAGAATTATTTGGGTGAAGCCATGACAGTTAAATTGGAATAAGACTGCTAGATGATTATTATTATCATGCAGATATAACCTATATGAATTATGCAGAAGTTTACGAACATGTGCAGATTTCTAAAGGCCAAGTCTCTGTCTCTCAAACTTGGCTCTGGTGCATGCTTGCTTTTACTGTAGTTTCCAGACTGCGTGATGTGGGCACAGAGAAACTGGGCAACCTGCCTGAGGTGGCACAGGCAGCCAACAGCTTGGCAAGGTGCAGTGCTAGCAGCTGCCTGGCTTTTGGCCTGGGGAAGTAGTCACAAGTACCCACAGGCTCTGGATCTCAGATGTTCTTCCTGCTGCACTGTCCTGGATAATCCGACATCATCTGTAAGCCATTCATTTTTGTTGGTCTGACCTGGAACGGAAATCAATAACAAGAGGGGCAGATTAAAGGTCCCACCACTGATTTACAAGATCTAAAACCAGTGACCTGCAAAACATTTCAGGCTAAGAGCAACCAAGTTTATCCTGGAAGGCTGCAGTCCTTAGGGAGGAGTCTCAGTGGCTGAGCGGCTGGTAGCCTTCCCAGTCTGGCCTCTTGTTGCATCTTTTATGGATTTCAACCCTTTGTACTGCCATGCTAAAGCCTTTTCCCCACTTTGTTCAGGCATTAACAGTGAGGATAGTCATGGGCGTGGGGATTTGGGGAGTCTGAAGAAGCAGAAAGATCTTCACAATCCCCACCTGATTTTGATGATGCTACCACCACATCGTCTTGGGAATCCAAGCTTAAGAAGCCAGAGAAAGAAACGAGCACTCGACACCAATTATTGTTTCCGGTAAGTTAAGATCCCAGTTTATCTAACTGCTCCTATAATTAACTAGTTCTTTTCATTGCTTTGTAGCTGCAGTGCCACCACTCCACATTTTTCTGTCTTTTCCAAGCTGGAATTGAAAATGTTCTGGAAGCCCTTACCCTGGACAAAGTTGGGATGGTTCTGCACAGGTTGTGAGGTATCAGCTACACACAGTTGATCAGCCCTGTATTGTGGCCTGCTGGATGCCTGACAATTAGTGGAGCCAGAGTGGTGTAGAGAGCCAGAGTGGTGTAGTGGTTAAGAGCATGTGACTGGAACTCAGGCGATCCGGGTTCGAGTCCCCGCTCGGCCATGGAGCCAACTGGGTGACTTTGGGCCAGTCACAGTCTCTCAGCCCAGCCTACCTCACAGGGTTGTTGTTGTGGGGATAAGATGGGGGATAAGATGGAGGAGAATGATGTAAGCTGCCTTGAGCCCTTTGTAGGAAAAAGGCAGGATATACATCGGAAAGAAAAGGGAAAAAAACTAAGGATGTAATTCCTTATAATCCTGACAAAATGTAATATATGAGGCAAGCATTACAGGTCCAGAAATTCTTCTACAGCTCAGGCTGGAATTCAAGTCAGGTCAGAGGTCAGGCCCCTCCCGTCCACCTAATGTTTCCTTTGGTTCCAGCATCCTCGACCTAATAGGCTGGAGGGTACATTCGGAATTTTAAGTCCTATTGACTAGCCTTGGGGTGCCTCACCCATTCGTAAAATGGGCCAACCTCTTCCCACCACTTGAAAATGGTTTTAATTTTTAAAATATTAAATAAAATAAAAATCAGAAGATGCCTGGTGGGCACCCTGTTGGAGACCTCAAAGTGAAAGGGCTGTTTCTTCTGGCGTCTCATGTGCTGCTGCAGCTGCAAGCCAGGTTCTTCAGGTGGGAAAACTGCATTTCTCAGTCCTGACATGTAGTTATTTTAGTCTATTTCTCTCCCACCTTTCTTCCAGCATGGGACCCAAGCTGGCTTACGTGAGCCTCTTCTCCCTTTTATGCTCACAACAACCCTGTGAGGCAGGTTAAGTTGAGCGTGAGTGGCCCAAAGCCACCGAGTGAGTTCCATGGCTGGGCGAGGACTTGGAACCCGAGTATTCTGAGTTCCGCTCCAAACATTCTAACTGGCTGTCAGGAGGTGGAGCGGCTCGCTCGTCTTCCCAGGGCAGCCACCCGAGAGGACAGGGCATGGCCGGGACTCTGCTCGGGAGGAGCGAGGCGTGGGACTCGGGTTGCGCGGTTGCGCGGGCGCATGCACAGCTGCGTGGGATTGGCAGCTGGGGCAGGCAGGGGACTGCCACGCTGGGGACGGGAGAATAAATGCAGGGAGGACACGGACCAGAGGGGGTGAACAGAAGAGCGAGCGAGCGAGCGAGCGAGCGAGCAGAGGAGGGAGGCTGGGGGAGACGCGCAAAAGCAGCCTTTGGGAGGAAGCTGGAAGCGGCTGGCGTTGCCGCAACGCGCAGACGGCCAGGCAGGAGCGCCCAGGACACGCAGCCCGCACCTTCCCAGAGGCGGCGGTGCTCTTTGCCTCCGAACCAGGCGAGGAAGGGTCCGGGCCAGGAGGGGGCTTTGGCGCTGCCGCGGCGGAACCTGTGGACCGCAAGTAACAGGACCTGCTGGGTGAGCTCGCCTCCTCGCGAGCTTTACATGGAACGAGGCCCTTCAGCGCGCCTCTGCCTCTTAATCCTGCTGCACTGGTGCAGCACCCTGGCTTCACTTCACTGCTGAATCTACTTGAAGCAGAAGCCGGGCACGAGAGGCACTGGCTCTGAAACGCAAGCAGGGAGCGGGAAAGGGTTCGCTGCTGCTGCTGGAGTAGCAGCAAGGAGGGCAAAGGGAAGAGGTTGGAAGGCTTAGCAGGGGGTTGGGAGGAGGACTGGATCCTGTTATACCCCTGGTGATATTGGGGACAAAACTGGGTTCAACTTGCCCTGTAATCGGGCTCTGATTAAGTGGAGCTGTTTTCTGGATTTAGTGGGCAAATATGGTCAGCTGCCGGACATGCATTCACTTTTGTAGGTCAGATGTTGTGCTGGCCTGACCTGCTGTCTGGCTGGACTTGTTCCCAGCGAGGCACTTGAGGCATGGCAAATGGGTCAGCTGTCCCGCTCATTAGATGCAGGCTAAACACCTCGCCTAATTCCCCTCCTGTCCATGTGTGCCCGGCCCCTGTATAGCTGTGGGTCTGCGTAGGAGCACAGTATGAAGAGGGAGCAGCCCAAGGCACCAGTACCTTGGGAAAGCGGATCTGAGAACCTGCCTTGGCATGGCAGGGGGCATGATGCTCCCCTTCCCTCCCCTGCTCAGCTCCCAGGACTTTTTGGAGAAGATCTGCTACCCTAGTTAAAACCAGCAGACAGTTTAACCTTCACCTGCTGTACAGGTCAGGGAGGGCCCATACTGAACTTTCTGTATGAGGCCTGCATCGTGAGGGCTTCTTTTTTCCTATATTTGTCCTTTTGGTTTTTTTTTTTTTAACCAAACTCTTTTTGTTCCAGGAGCATGGAGGAGAACTGCTGTGTGCGCCGCCTCTACATCGATTTTCGGCAAGACTTAGGCTGGAAATGGGTCCATGAGCCCAAGGGATACTTTGCCAATTTTTGCTCTGGACCATGCCCATACCTCCGCAGTGCAGACACAACTCACAGCACGGTAAGCAACCCTTTTGTGTTAGCAAGGGCAGGGACCATAGAAGTTTGGAAATCGGGCTCTCTTCTCCCTCCCCACCAACCAGAGGCAGCTGCTAGCTGAGGCTGAAATGCTCTCCAGTTTCCTGGATCTAAGACCGACTGAGCTTTGTATATATAGGACTGTGTTGTCCACTTTGACTTGCTAACAAAATCATTTTTGTTAAATAAACGTTAGTCTATTCAGCCATGGGAAATTTCTGTTATGGTAGTCTTTTCCACTGTGGTGCTCTCCAGATGTTTTGCAATGTTGAAAGTTGTCATCCTAAACCTATGGAGGGCTATGGGTTGGGGAAGACTGTACTACACTTTTCTCCTGGTTGTGGTTTCTTTTTGTACATGGGGTTGATCTCAACTGTTCAACCAAGCTGGACTGGTGTTTGTAAGGCATCATTTCTTGCCACTCCTCCCATCCAAAATAGTTCCGTGAGGATTCCATGGCCCTCAAACAAAGTCTTTTCAGTGCTGTCACTGTTGCCCCTCATATAGCTAGTACGACCTTCCTTTCTAAAGCACTTCAGTTGGGTTCATCTGTTTTGGCATGAAAACTGGTACTCTGTGATTTAGAGTTCTTTGGGCTCCTCTCTTATGCAGAGTCTTTGAATCAGTTGTTCTATTTCTGCTCCAGAACCTTTCTGCCATATTTAATTAGCAGTGGAAGAGATCACTTGTAGCGTCATCTTCCAATTTGCTAATGAAGAGCCAGTCATTAGCCTAAAGCTGTTACAATCTAGAGGAAAATGAGACACATCTTTCTGCTTGTATGGCCTAGTTCATGCCATATGGTAGGAGAAACTCCACAGGGAATCCACCAGTGGTTCCTGGCTAAAGGGTTATCTAGAGAGGATGTTTTTTCTTTTAGACTTCTTTCTGTTGGCAGGAGTTAGAGAGCCCAACAGCTACACCAGTTTGGTTGTTAAAGCCTATCACAACTGTTTACATGTCAGGCAGCAGAGCAGTTGTTAACATTTGCGGTAATTGCTCCACCACAGGAAAGCATTTCATGATGGAAGAGAATAATACAGCACTGGTAGAAAGCATTTTCTGAACCATTGTAACTGGCTGACTATCGCTGTTGTTCTACCAGGGTGTTAGTTTTACTGCAATTACAATAAATTAACATCTGTGAAAGTCAGAGAACTTAACAGCAAGTGTATTTCACAGAAATGAAGGAAAATAGTGCTATTTCCTTTCCATTTCTTGTTGCTGTTGTGCACAGGAAAATAACTCTTTGTGTTGTAGAATGGGGCAAACACAACTCTTTTAAAGGAGAAGCCATGGCCCAAATGGTTTATGTCATTAAGCCGAAGCTGTGAATATAGCAACTGGAGAGGATGGAGTGTCCTGAAGAGATCAGTCTGGAGAGGTGGTAGAAGGTTTTTCTGGCAGTAGACTTGGCAGTAGACTTAGCAATGCTAGCAGAACTGAAGGACTGGGAATGGTAAAGACTGCCAGAGCTTCAATAGAACCCATAGACAACGGATGTTAGAAAGGCAGAACAGGACAAATGGGTGTCAGTGGTCTAACCCTAACTAAGGCCTTACTATTGACATAGGACATTTTGTAAGTTTCTCCAGGGCAGCTCTCTAAATTCCCATTACTTTAGACTGGTAGCCTTCTGGGGCAGTAGATATGACTTGAATCAAAGTGACTTGAATCAAAGTGCCATAAGCTGTTTTGGGCCCAGGACGTAGCAAGATATATTAAAGATTCAAGTGGGAGAAGGTCTGCTTCATGAAGAGAACACCTGGCTCCTGTCCCTTGAGCAAGGAAGTAGAAAAACGTTAACACAGCCTTTCCCAAACTGGTACTGTCCAGCAATTTTGGGCTACAATTCCCAGCATTCCTAATCACTGACCTGATTGGCTGATGGATGTTAAAGGCCCAAACATAGGCAGAGCACCAAATTGGAAAGGGTGCCTTAAGAGGTAAGACCTTCTGTCAGCAACTTGAGCACACTTTTAAAAAGTGAAGTGTCACCAAAATTCAAATGGTCAACCATTGTGGATAAACCACTTGAGAAGATTCCATAATCTTTGCTATTTTAAGCTAAAAAACCAAGATTTCTGAAGTCTTGGGGGGGAAGTGGGGGATTAGAAGATGTTTCTTCATTGTCTGTTTAAGACAACTTCTGTAGCCAGATATAGATAACATATAAAAATATCATGAGGAGAACTGTTGATGGATTATTTTTCTCTTTCAATAAAGCCAACTCCCTCATGTAGGGAAGCATTTTTAGAAAGCTGAAAACAGATTATTTTTCTCCATAAATCATTGGCACCCCCTTCCTTGAAATGTAGCAGACTCTGGAAAAACATAGCTCTAAGGTTAGATGGCATTGCCTAGAGTGATTCAGGTCCAGCACCAGGGAGGTGGTGTAGGAATCCATCAGAGGCCCCCAGGGCTGTCCTCTGGCATTCTCCCTTGCTCGGGTAATAATATGTGCAATGAAGCAGAGAGAGACCTCATTGGAGTTGTAGAGGATTCAAACAGTTGGGAGGAGGATGTAGATATTTGAGAGGGACTGGATTAGATCCAGCATGATCTGGAGATGCTGGCCAAAGTAAGTTGATTTTTTTCAGCTGTTTCTCTTGAAACTCAAACAGGGCCATAGGATGGTTACACCCAGCGTTGTTGTTTTTTAAAGAGTAGAATATACACGAGAATGGCTTGTGCCAGTGCAGAGCTGAGGTTTGGATGCCACACTCATGTTTGCTCTTTCAGGCTGCTCAGCTGCTCTAAGTTAGCCGCCTCAAATTAATAGCCATATTATACCAAACAGCAGTCGTGGCAGAGATGGCTATTTTAAGTTGCATTTTTGATCACTTACAGGATCCTGGTTGGCTTGAAAGAGGCTCCTCACGTATTTCTCGCTTGCCTTCCCAGGTGCTTGGTCTATATAATACGCTGAACCCTGAAGCATCTGCCTCCCCCTGTTGTGTGCCCCAGGATCTGGAGCCTCTCACCATCCTGTACTATGTTGGAAGGACCCCCAAAGTGGAGCAGCTTTCCAATATGGTGGTGAAATCCTGCAAATGCAGCTGAAAAAGACTCAGCACCGCCCACAGCTGAGAAACTGTAATGATCCACCTTCTGCTCCCAGAGCAAAAAACCAAGAAACATAGAGAAGGGCACTGTGATCTGGTCTTCTCACACTAGACAAAATCCAAGACAAAATACAGAGTTCAAAGACCTTGGAAAAAGCCCATGAGCCAACACCACTCTGCCTTCCTGGCTCTGTCACCTTTTCTCTGGGAGTTACTTTTGCAGGATGGAGGCTTGAAGAAAGAGGCACTCATACCAGCTACACATTTAATGTAACCAAAGAGAACTTCATTTGAAGAGGCAAGCATTAGCAGAGCTGTGGACAGATGGAAGGGTCAGAGAAAAGAAGACATCTTATGCCACCACTAACTTTCCTAGGAGCTCAGCCTTTCCTACAGAAGGATGAAGATTTCCTTATAAAGGAACACTAATATTTTCTTAGAACCTGGACTATAATGGAAATAATTATTCTGCAGACAATGAGTGCAGGAGTCTGTGGTCCAAACTGCTCAGAATGGCCAGTTTAAAGAGGACTTATTGACACACTTCACACAAAGATGAATTCCTCTGAAGTTTCTCCCTTCTCCTCGAGTACCTGCTACATGACCTCTGGGCCAGAGCAGCTGCTTTGCTCCTGTGCCCACCCCCAGCTCAGTTTTAGGCAGTAAATCTTCAAATGAGCCTGTATTTCCTGTGGTGATTGAGGTATTCTAAGGAAATCTGCACATCTCTTGCACAAGGACCTGGACCAGGCACAGCTGCCATGGTTATATTAAAAAGTATTAATCTCAAATATTGTAAAAAAATAAATATTTTTTGGAAATTGGAATTTTCTATTCAAATACATTGTTTGGACAGAGAAAAGAGGGCAATTGTCATACTGGGAGGGAAATCTATCAGAAATGAATCCCTTGTGACAACCTGCCACATGGGAACAAATCGGAACATCTAGATAGCCTAAAGGATGGTATGAGGTAGGCTTTCCCAACATGGAGGCTTCCTGATGTTTTGGATTTCATGTGCCATCAGAGCCAGCTAGAATAGCAAATAGCCAAGAATGCTGGTAGTACAAAACATCTGGAGGGCACCAAGTGGGGGAGGCTGTTCTGAAAGACTAGCATAGAGACAGGTGAAACCTGAGGAAGCCTGTGTTTTGCAGAGCATAAAGTCACTTAGGGAGTGACCATATGGACCCTAGACAGTGTCTGAAGGGCCACAGGATTTTCTGAATTCTCAGCTTCAAGCTTGGACACCATGCTCCACCTTTGGGGTTGGAAAATGCCCAACAGTCAGTGCAGAAAGAACTGCATCAGCTACCCTAAGTTTGGGAAAGTTACTTCAGAGAGGGGTAAAAGGGGTTGTTTTGGGGACAGGATGCAGAAGAGGCGGGAGAGGTCCAGATGCAAAATATTGTGGAGCCGCTCTAGCCTCCTCCCCTCCCACTTCAAGACACTCCAACAAGATGTCTAGCAAAAATGCACAGCATGAAAACGGGGAGGAGGCAACCACTTTTGCTACTCCTGCTATGCGTTGGATGCTCCTAAGCCTCCAAGATTGGGTACTTATGAAAACCTCATTTACTTCTACCATAGTCTGATATGCCAGAACAACTGTTCTTAATCTCATATAAAAAAGCTTCATAACACAGCTACTGTTCATTGGCCCCATCTAATTCAGTCTGTTTACTCTGACTGATGGGTACTATTGAAGGTTTCTGGCAAGGGTCTTACCCAGCTGTACCGTCCAAGAGTTTTTGAAATGAAACCATTTCACATGCTTCATTATTGACTTCTATATGGCACAGGCAAACTAAAAAGGCCCCAAAGGTGCCAGCCTGACTTCAGTCATGCTGCCAGTTGCCACTGTGCCCTTCTGCTTATAATACAATTATGTGCTTCAGTATGGGGCACTAGTATGATTTGGCATTACCTGGCAGCATCAGCTCTTGGGCTCCTAAGATTTTTTAGGTCTGGAAGAAGGAAGGATTTTGGAATGCAAAAGGGATGGAAAGGAAATCTTTCTGGTCCACATCTAATTAAGATAAATCCACATCTAAAAAATATTTTATAGAACACAAAAGACTTGGCCCTTTCCAAAGTGACCTACAATGCTTGCACGTTTTTTTCTTTTCTGCTATCACCTTTGTGTGAGGCTGTGCTCTAGCCTCACTTGTTTTTTGGACACTGTCTCCATGCCTCTACTATGTATACTCAGGTCTGCTTTTCAGAGTGTATGCTGTCCCCATCAACCCTAACATACCACCAACTTCTCCACCAGTCTTTTGCCTGCTCTGCTTTCCTGATTCTCTCCCACTTCCAAAAACCCACTTGTCTTAAAGCCCTAGACAACCCTTTGAACTGGCCCCTCCAAATCTCAAGTGCACTCCTTGTCCTTCAGCCCCTACTTCATGTATCCAGCTTTCCTCTGGCTCCTGTTTCAAGTGCCTTTGCGACCCTTTCTACCACCCTTTTCATCAGTGGTCTGGGTGTGCCACACAGCCAAACTAGCAAATGTGTGAATGGATTTTTTAAAAGTAAAATTCAGATGTGTTTGTGCAATCTGGGTCAGGGACCAGGCATAAAGAGGAATTATCCTGCTACTCTCCATCCCCTCCCCTCAATGTTGGTTACAATCCAGATCTCTTCCTTGTACTTACTATTGGGAAAAAAGATCCCATTCACTCCAATGGGAATTTCCCCCCACTCTCAAAAAGCCAGTGGAGGGGCCCTGATCTGGTTAGGGAAAGCAGCAAGGGGGTCTTTAGCCTGGGATCTGATATAATAAAACAATTGCTACTTGTGTGAATGATGTCATGTCTAGTTTGGCTCTTAGCCAGGGTAAATCCTGATGTAATGTCTTTCTTCCACAGACTACCACCCATGAAATTACATAAATGAGGAAAGTTTGATCAGAATGCAAACATTCATGCAATTGTGAAGGAGAAATGAAAAAGTTATGCCTGCCTGTTCCCACTTACATTTCTTGCAAAAATCCGGACAGATCCATCTTCACCAAGCCACACATTTGTTATGGGTATTCCTCCAGGAAAAGCATACACTTGCCCCTCACCTTGACAGCACAAGGAACTAATAAAGAGAAACGGAACACTGTCTCAGCATTTTGGTGCAGCCCAAGTGTGTGGCCTCATTGAACGGTGCTTGTTCCAGAAGCTGACAGTGAGCTGTGCTGTAACCCCTGCTGTCCCCTTTCGGTTAACCCTCAGCCAAGCCCTTCTCAAGTATTAAGCCAGTTGCTGTTCATTCTCCAGCATGCTGCTCTAATTTGTAATTCATAATTTCAAGCATTTTTATGAGACATGAAAAACTCCAGATACAGCAGTTGGGTTGCTGTCAATCCATCATTCAGGCTCTTTTGGCTTGGAGCCTGTGACAGGGAAACTCATACTCTGATAAGAGGGTACTTCCCACTCATTGCTTAACTTTTAGCCTTTTAATTTTTCTTGAGGTCTCCTTGACCTCATATCATGCTCACATGAAGCAAGTTAACTCCACCTTGTTGAAACTGTGTTATTCTCTTCTGGGCAAGTGAGATTCCTTAATACTGCCAATAATAGGATATTGTTCTCAAAGGAGAGAATCAGCACAGCTGCAACACATGAGGACAAGGCAGTGTTCTATATGCCAGCATTTCAATTTCTGAATCATTTTTCTGTTCCATTCTTGATTCTGAACCTTACTGAATATGAGGGGAAGGGTCATGGCTCAGCAGTGGAGCGTATGTTTTTCATGCAGAGGATTCTAGGTTCAACTCATTGCAAAGTAGGTGCAAGAAGAATCAATAAGGTAGCCTTTCCTGGAAGAGGACATATCCAGCAGGTCACAAACCTTCCTCAGAAAATTTAAAATCCTAATAACTTTATTCATTATCTATATAATTCTTAAGCTGAAGCTTTAAAAACACTACTGACTGCAGTGCAAGTCAGGTGTGTTCTAAAGCTGTGACTCTTTCTGTCAACCCCAAAACAAAATGACAATGTCTTGACTAGTAAGGTAACTACAGTACTTTATGGGCCATAAGTAGGCATCAGACATTTAGCTGCCATCTGATAAACACCTGGGGATAAGCCCCGCCTAGCCCAGTGAAAGCCACTTCAGATTTGACATATATATCCCTATGCTGCTTTGTTGGGACAGGATCATAAAAAGAGCACTGGGTTTCTGTATGAATGAACAGGAACAAATTCCTGTTCAGTGAGGGAGAGAGGATTTTATTTGTTCATTTTGCAAGTCACTCTCGCTAAACCTAACTTACCCCACAGAAGAATAAGCACGAAGTGTTTAGAATGTTAAATGATGCTACAGAAACTCTGAATAATGAAGTCAACTGTACCTATGCTTATATCACTAATCAGAAGTGACAGAATCCAACTGCTGGGTCCAACTGGATCTTGGAGTGTCATCTTCTTTAGAAAAGCGTCTTATATAATGTAAATAAATGTGGGGAAAACCAACAAAACACACATTTTTAAAAGACTCCCACTGGAATAAAATTAAATGTCAACTAATTGGAAGAATGTTACTCAGTAGAAAAATTTAAATTATAAGCTAAACAAACACAATGAATGACTTTATTCAGACTAAGCCATTCTATGGCTTTCTGCCAAAATCCAAGATGGCAGCCAGCATAAGTGTCTATAGTCAATCAGCACTTTTAAGCTCTTGTGCCAACTGTGGTCATATGGTATGAACTTTGCCCAGTATCTGGTAGAGAACCTTGGTTGTTCTTAGGATGAACTGAAATGACTTTGTGGATGAAGAAACTTGGGCCTTGAAATACATAATACAGAGACAATGGTGAATGTTTGTTTTACACGAGTCAAAACCACAATTTGCAGGCAATCTAATGGAAGATGATGTGATGCAAGATGAAAAGAAAGTCCTGAAGCTTAAGCAGCAAAAGCTCAGAGGAAGCAGAAAGTCTCATGTCCAGGCTCCAAAACCACTTCCATAAACTGTTTTCCTGTCCTTGGAGAAAATTCTGGAGTGTGCAACAGGTCATGCTGTCAATCTGGGTGTCGGCAGGAGTGAGGAATAATGAACAGTCATTCCTGCTTCATCTTCTCCTTGCAGGTTGAAGCATTGAATTGGTGGTTCACCCATTATTTAGGAAGAATCCTTTACTTCAGAAAGGAAGTGCAAGCAGGAGCTGAGCAAAACACAAAGAAAAGCTAGTGAATGCTTCCAGAGAAGTGACCTACAGGATGCGAGAGTTTCCTTTGATACAAATTACAAAACTAAAAGGAATGACCCTCAACAGTTTTAACTACAGCAGTGGGAATGCCCCATTGTTTCTGATCTCTGCTACATGGACTGTACGACTGACCCTGCAAGCCTGTATGATCAACAGGGACCAGAGTGGACTTTGCAGTCACAGGTCTTCTCTGTTTCTCAATCTATCCTGCTTCTCATGATAGTCACCATAGTTATGAACAATCAATTCACATCTTTTTTCAAAATATATAGTCTTCAACGCTCTCATATTTTCAACTTAAGGCTTGCATGCTCTCTACCTTCTTCAAAAATGAGAAGAGAAAGGAAGAGAAAGGAAGATTTGAATGTCTTTATGTTGCTTTGACCTTTTTCAGGAAAAGTCATAGTATAGTATTATTATCTTGGAAATCCCCTCTATCATACATCCCAGTTTCCTAGCAACTTTTCAAACTTGGGCTGGAGGAAGCAATCTGAATAGATAAATTACTGACACAAAAGTTGTCCTACACATTCAGCAATTTAGTTTTGCTTCTATCAGTTTTTTTGTTTCTGATGTTTGTTGAGAGGCAACAATATTAGAGCAATTAACAAATGACTTATTTAGTTAGTTATATTTATTACCTTTATATCACAAACATTTATATATTTTCCTCTTGCAAGGAGCTCAAGGTGGCTTACATGAGCCTTCTCTCCATTTTATCCACACAACAAACCTGTGAGGTACATTAGACTGGGTTGTGAGTGGTCTAAAGTCACCCAGTGAGCTTCATGGCTAAGTGGGAACTAAATCTGGATTTTCTGAGTCCTAGGCCAGTGCTCTATCCACTACACCACACTGGCTTTTGTCTGCGTTCCTCAAGAGCCAAGCATCACACAAGCACATTAAATTTGGAATTATGTCTAAGCTGCAACTATAAAACCATTTATTTATGAGCAAGACCACTAGAACTTGACGGAACAAACGCATAAGTAATTATTTTTCAAAGAAAAGCTTGATCATTGAACTGAAAACATGGTAAATGTACTTAGTGCCAAATGCTATGCTTATAAGGGCAAATTTGCAAGTTATTCACTCCACCTTTGTGTTCAAAAAAGCATCTGTACTGTAGTATAAAAATGTCTACATAAATGTACACTTTAGTCTCAACGCACACTCTGCTGATCCAAAGGAAGTATTGGCTTCCTAAAGTTAAGTGTTGGGGTCAAAATACATATTTGTATTCCAGTCTTACATTAGGGTAATATTAATACATAAAATTAGAATTGAATATGGTAAAGATTGCCATAGAATGACTTCCTCTATTGGGACCCCATATCTCTGCTGTCTTTGTTGCAGAGGGGTCAAGTCCTGCTATATGACACTAATTGTTCATTTGAGCTAATGAATGAGACTTTGTACCTTTGCTTAGTTTATAGGCTTTGAGGATGATGGACACCCACACACCCATCCCAGCACCACTTCAGACATTGTAAGCTTTGTTTACCTACCTTGAAAAGGCAGTTGCATGCTCTCCCACACACACTCATTCACATTCAAGTAAAATATATCACATATCTACCTACAGGTCAAATATATGTATGATGACTCCGTTTCAAATGTTCAGATCACTACACTTAAGTCACTTTGTGTTCCATATTAATAAGAATATTATCATGAATGAAAAAAATATCCTGTAGGTCATGGGTCCTCAAACTACGGCCCACCATGCTCATTTATCCAGCCCGCTTCAGAGCTTTTGGAGTCGCTCAGAGAAAATGATCTCCAAGCGAGTCCAAAAGCTCTGAGCCAGCACAGGCTTACTCAGTGGGAGATGGTCGCAATTGCAGTCGCGCAGGAAAGACGGGCGTGATTGCGGTCATGCTGTGGGGAGGGGGGGAGATGGTGGGGGATGGCCGCGATCGCACCTGCCTTCCCTGCACGATCATGCTCGGGGGGGGGGGGGGGGGCCACGGTTGGGGGGGGGGGGGGTATGGCCACGATTGCACCTGTCTTCCCTGCACGAGCACGATCACACCTCTCTCGCGCCCCAGCAGCACATTCATGGACATTGTAGCTATGTCCCTTGAATATGGACATGCTCTTCCCCACCTCATCTTGGGCTTCTGCTGCAGCCCAAGCGAGTGGAGCAAACATTTTTTAATTTTAATTATTTTTTAAATTATAGTTAATTTTAATGTGCAGTGTGCATAGGAATTGCTGCTTTTTTTTCAAACTATAGTCCAGCCCCCCAACAATCTGAGGGACAGTGTGGTTTCAGGACCCCTGCTGTAGGTGATCAAATCACTCTCTCATCTTGATATCCTTTTCTCTAATGCTGTACTTGTTTCCACACACTTCCCAAGTTCAATGCAAGTTGTTTCATTTACTCTGCAGAAGCTCACTAGTGCCTGGGCAGGAGCTTGTATCTAGGCATGAGTTCATCTCCACTGTGTCCTGTAGTGGGGAAAACAAGGGTCTTCTCTGGTCCCTTTACTGGCAGGGACCAAGACAAGGGCACACTCCTGTTTGTGTTTTCAGTGACCCAAATTCATTGCCTGGAAACATCTACCCCACCTGTTCACCTGTTCAAGAAAAAGATGTAATACCTTTCCATTTATCATGAATTGATTAAGTGCATATTTTAGGTGTCTCTGCACCATACATTAACTATATTTTCAGTTATTATAATTGGCTTTATGTTCTTAGTTCTTTGTGTTTTCAGTCTACAGCTGAAATCCAATGTCATGTGAGTAGACATCAACTTGTGCAACAGAACTACCCTGCTCTCTTTCCCCCTCTATAGCCTCCTATGTGCTCCCCAGATGTGCTCTGGAGACTTCCACAGCCCTCTGGAGCAGATGTGGCAGGGGCCTACAGTGGGAAAGTGGAAATCGACCAGTTCTACCAGTGTTTCCTCGTGGGATCCAAGCCTTTGAATTCTACTTTTTCTGGGGGTATTTGTTTCTTTGCCTTTACTTATTTTAGCATAAAACAGCCTAGAGTGCATTGGCACATGTACTAGATAGCTGCAGAAGTAATAAAAACAAGCCAGCATTAAAAACATTTTATGTTGCCTTTTCAATTGTATTAGCTAGCTTCAGTTTTGCATATAAAGGCAGGTAAGAAAGAGTCATTTACAAGGACCATCTCATGTTCCCCCTAGGATATATTATTCACACTTTATAAATAAAAAATAAAACCATTGAGAGAAATGAAATCACTAGAGAATTAGCCAAATCTCCAGAGTCATAGGTCTAATTTGTATGTTACACCAATCCATGGTTTGTTGCCCTACTCAGGGTTTGTCTGGCAGGCAATTGATCAGACCATGGCTTGTTTCTCTCCTCTTTTTCCCACTCCCACCCTGTATCCCAAATGTCCCTGCAGCACTTTAGTACTGGCACATAACGATTTTTGTCCAATCATGTGAAAACTAACCATTTATAATTCAGGGTCTGAAAACCAAATTAGACAAGACAGGAGAGTTATGTGTATTTATTCTTGGTTGTCTTATTATATATAAAGCATGAATGGAGATGAGAGGGTCTATTTTTAACAATGTATTAAACATAAATATCAGTAGTTTGTATCCAATTCTAGTAGACTGAGAACTATTAGTAGATGTCGGAATGATTTGCGGTAGATCAGCAAGAGTTTCTTGGCAATAACAAAGCAGTTTTCCCACTTTTTAAATCAAGCTGCTAGAATCCTTAATGATTAATCTGAGGATGAATTTTACTCGCAGCAGACAGAATGCAGAATATTAAAAAGGTCTTTGTTGATCCTAAGCACTTAGGAGAAATGGAGAATAGCATGTTATTCATACAATTGTTCCTGGACTGCCAGCCTGCTTGCATCCATCTCTCTCCACCCAATGCTTTTCTAGCTGATCCCCTCCTGGCTCACTGCCAGGGCACATAGTGCTCTACCTCCTCTCTTCCTCTTCTTCTCAATACTGTCTAGGACTATGAGGTGGTGGAACTGATAGCAACAACTGTGAAGATCTGTTAACTGTGTCCATGTTAACTGGGTGGGGGTTTTCAGCTCTGCTCTGCACTCACACAGCCTTTGTGTAGCTCCGCTGCATTATGAGGACAGTATATATACACAGTCTCCTTTGTCCTGTTTTTTTGGAAGGGTCAATGTTGGAAAAACTGTACTGCTGTAACCTCTGATTTGTTTGTGGGCAGCTCCATTCTGGTTCCAAAGCAATCAGTGATTAGAGAGAATGATGGATTGCTTATAATTCCATTGCTTTGTATTCAAAGAATGTCTAAAATATTCCCATTCCTTCCCAAGTCTCTGTAATGTGGGTTTGCTATATTTAGCATGAATATACCAAGTAACTTTGTTCATAACTATCCCAAATTAACTTGCTCTTCCATAATACAGGAAATTCTGAATTTCAAAAACCTTATTGCACTCATCATTAACTGAGAGATTTCCTGCCTTTAGTGAAAGGTCTGTCTGTATGTCTTTTCTTTCTTGCAAGCTACAAGAAACATTTTAAGGTTTAATGATTAAGACCAACAACAGTAAAAAAGGTCAACATTTCAGTACTACATTTCCAACAAAGCTCACCACAACTCTGAGATATCTGGATAACCTACAAGCTCTTAAATGCTATTGGACAATTACTAAATAATAATCTCTTGAATTTGATGAAACTAAATCTATTCACATTGTTCCATACATATGCCAGAACTATAATAGTAATATTGTGCCCTTTTCCCCAGTTATGTATGCAAGTCAGCTCGACCTGGATCCTTCAGTGTAAAGGAATCTGGCAGATTTCTGATAAGGATTGGCGTGGTCTATATAAAATATTTTTTCCAAAGCGGACTAAGGATCCAAAACAGTTTAAATTTATCAATCAAGTTGGGAGAATAAACTCCTTGAAAATATTCATAATAGAGGTAAAAGCATATTTTCTTATCATTGGGTAAAACATTTTG